CTCTGGAAATTAAAGCTTCCAGAGGCCTGTTGCTAATGAAGCCTAATTAATTTTGGATGTAAATTGGCCTTGCTGCTGCAGCTGCGTTTGAATCCCCATTAAAGGGAAAGTCATTTTAATCAAACCCCACAGTGGGTGTTTTATCTGGCAGTGATTAGAGGAGCCCAGTATCTATTTAGTTCCTTCTTAGTCTAAAGGATTTTTCACTTTTTGCCCTTTTAACTCAGATAAATGCAAGGCAACAAGCCACAGCCTTTTAAAACTATTAAGTAAAATAAGGAGCACTGCAGCAACATGCTCTTACTGCAGCCCAGCCTTTGAGGGGCCTGAACCTCACCATTCCCACCTCCACGATCACTGGCACTGTTCATTTCCCCCCTAACACCCCACAGACGGACAGGCAGCCCTGCTGCATGTGCTGTGTCCGTGGCGAAGCAGAGCAGCAGGGTGAAGGCAAAGACAAGGGTGGTGACCTCCTGGCGCTGGCATTGCTCGTCTTAACGGGCTTGGAAAGTCCACGGATCTCCAGATCTGGAGTTTGCCATCCAGCTCTTATTTCTGAGCCCTCCGTGCCACTGTTTTATGATTCTTCGATTCCCTGATTGTGTGGTGCTCTGACCGTGAACACCACCCTTCCTGGAAACATGACGGGAATTCTCCAGATGACAGAAGGAAGGGGGAATACGGCAAACTCCACAGAAAACTGCTGCTCTCCAGCAGAGACCAAGGAGATCAGGAGTGGGGTTTGGAGCCGGCCACCACCACTCTGCTCCGTTTCATCTGGGACAAGCTTGGGTTGCACTGGTCTATTATCATCAGAGAAAGCTGAAGAAAATTCAGGTAATACTTTTTCTTCAGTGACGGGGAAGAACCAGAAAGCTGGCAACAGGGAAAAAACAGCTGAAAAATGCAGGTAGCAACACAAACGCTCCCACCGCAGGACCGAGGCACGGCGGCAGCATCCCAGCCCCGTGCTCCCGAGCTCGGAGCCGAGCGTGCGAGCTCCAGTCCCCAGGCAGGGAAGTCGGGAAGCGGACTCGGCTGTGTGCTCGGCTTCCCACGCGGCTCTGCCAGCTCGCTGGCCCCGAGCAGGAAATCCCCCCGCAGCCTGGCTTTCAGCAGCGGCTGCCACAGCACCCTGGGAACAGGGACTGCTTTGGGCAGGCACGATTTGAGCTTTTTTTCAAAGTATATTTAGATCATCGACAAGGGGTACTTCGTCTTCCCAAATGGAGATTATTAAAACCCCAGTTGGCTTTTTTTTTTTTTTTTTTAAAAAGTGTCATTGTTGGTGGTGGTCGAGGACAATATTTCGAAGTTGTTAATTAAGAAGAAATAATTCACACATTCCAGCTGTCTCAACATAAATTCTCTCACTTGCTTTTCCAAGCAGAGACGAGCTCTCTGACAGCAGTGTCACAAACACGTTTTCACGCATGTTATGCGAGCACAGGAAGTTTAAGATAAATTCAGCAACAGATCAGATGAAAGGCCTTGTGCACTTGCATATCTATTTATACAGCCCCCGGGGCAAGTCCCACCCCATCACTGCAGTATCCGGGGGCCTCGCGCTCCCTAAGATATTGCGTGGTGATGGAGGATGGTGCTATCCCCTTCGCCGATGGGCTTGCAGGGAGGATTCTTGCCCGAATTTCCCCTGCTGCACCACTAACAGGCACCCAAATTTAGGTTTAGGGCACCCCTTTTGCCTGGCCCAGCTCTGCGGTGCCCCACGGTGCTGGTCCTGCTCCTCTGGCCCCGTGTCCCGGCTGCTCCTCGCACTACAGCCATGGGGTGAGCCCAGCCTGGCGTGGGTCTGGCTGGGAACAGCTCCTGCCATCTGCCTCAGGAAAAATGGCTCTGAGTGAGAAGATCAGTTTCGACGATCTTAAGGAAAAAATCCCCGACACGCTCTACTTTGTAACTCCCATCCCTGGAGGGAAAACTGGAAGGACGTTTTTCTTTGGGAAAAAAATTAAAAACATTTAAAAAATAAACTCTCATTTGAACAGCAGTGAGCATAGCCTGATGCTCTGCAGAAGCGTACAAGAGCACAGAAAATTATCGCCAGCAGTACCTTCTAGTGCCATTACAGCGTAAGGAATTGCTGACATCGAAAGGCAGAGGCCAGTTTTACACCTTACATAGCTCCTCTGACTTCCCTGCCTCCTCCTGATCTTCGCTAGCACGTTTGAGAAGAACCAGACTCCAGATACACTGCCAGGAACAAACCAAAGACAAGTGAAATCGCTCAGATGGTGTTAAATCACATTTATGTAAGGCTGCAGTCAATTCCAAGCTGATGGCATCAGCGATTTATAGCACTTTACCGTACGCAGAGCCACTTGCTGTGGTTTGAAAGGCTATGGAAAAAAACTTGTCTTAACATTTATACTCCTTTAAATAGTGTGAAAACCTCACCTTTTCAAAGATAACCGAGGCAGAGGTTAAGTTTGGCTTCTGGAAACTTGAAAACTGAAGTAGGGGAAAATTTGTACATAACTGCCCACCCTCGTCTTTAAAGAAGGCTGTAGGAGAGAAATCGTTTGAATTTCATTTGAGTTTTAATTCACAAATACGAAGAAAGTCGAGTCTAGATATATTTTGATTTTTTCTTTTCTTGGAGGACATCAGTGCTTCCTGGAAGTTGCAAAATAAAGAAATAAGTGAGATACAAAGCAATTCGCCCGACTCATCGCTCCACCCCAGTACGGTACTTACAGGGGTAGGAAAAAATGTTTTGCTTCAAAGACCTTTTCTACAGCTCTTTGCAGGCCCACTCTCCTTATGAGCATGGGAACACATTCAGCTACAAGTACCTGCGATTAATCCCACAGAAAAAAATGCTTTTAGTGTTTTAATATAAAATTACATCCTTGCCATAGGATGGTGTGTTGTGGGGAAAGCAGGCTGGAGGGTCTGAGCACTCAGCCAGCTTTCCCAAGGAGTAGGTTTTCTGAAACCGCAGTCTGTTTGTCTGTCCATCCGTCTGTCTGACAGCCTCATGTCCCCACTGACAGCTTTTGAGCTTGTTGGTTGCTCCCAGTCAATTTAGCAGGGAGACAGAGGTGTTAAAAATACTAAATTCCTACAGATTTTTGTGAAACTGAGAGCTGGAAAGAGCAGAGAGATGTACATCGGTGCTGCCCCAATGAGGAAAGTAGACAGATCCATCACTACGTTTGGGGATGGGCAGGAAATCCTGTTATTAATAAAGTTTTTAGATTAATTTCTAGAAGCACATCGATTTCACTGAAACTACACATCACAGAACAACCAGCAGAAACCAGAAGACATCACAGTCCCGAAATTAAGGAAAAAAAGCAAAAAGCTTTCCTTGAAGGATGTGGCCCTTGGGAGCCTGGGTCATCCTTGGGCATGGTTTCGGGCTCTGAGCCCTGGTTTAGATGGGGGCAGAGGTAAAGCTGCTCTCTTCTGAGCCGCGGCCTCTGTGAGCAGCCCCAGGCTAAGCCCCTTATGCAATCCTTCCGTCACAGCCTCCTTCTTGGCTTTGGTTTGATTTGCAGCTCTGATCTGGATTTAAGGACATTTGCAGCATCAATAGCTGTGCCGGGAAAGGAACGCTGACTGTAATGCATAGGTAATAGAGATCTGGTATGTTATGAAGCATGAAAACTCATCGAGGAAAACTGATTTTATCACCATGCAGGCAGAGCCACAGAAAGGGCTAGCAAGAGTTAAAGGAAACCAGTGGAAGTGCAGCATTGTTGGGCAAATCAAGGGGGAATGCAGAATAAGAAAGCAAGAAAAGGCCTTGGGAAGGGGGAAAAAAAATCAATGTCCATCTATCTTTAGTTTGTAAACTACAACCACATGGACATGCCTATACGTGCAGTTGTGCAATCAGCCCCCGCCGCACGGCTCTGGTGTGGGAGATGGAAAGGTTTGGGGTGATTTCCAAGGAGAAAAGCAAATTTGCAAATCGGGATAGCCAAAGCGTGAGGCAGATGTCAGCGTGTAAACACTTTGTAACAGCAAAGGCACCTGCACACCCATGTACCACTGGTGCATGAGAAGGCCTTGACAAAACGATGCTGTCAGCCTGCTCTGATTAAACCAAAGCAAATGACGTGAAACTAGCATTGTGTTGAAAGCAATCACCTTTCCCGCTTTCTGTTTGTTTGTTGGTTTGTGTGTTTTTAATGCTCGATTTGGCTATTAGGACAGTTCCTGTGAAATGCAGCTGGGGCTGGTGCTTCCCTCAGAAGAAAACGCCAAGTGCGTGTGCATGCGCAGGAAGGGGGCAATCATTTTATTGAAGTGAATTGTTTTCTTACTGATATTACTTCCACTCAGGCTGCTTCCTGTGAGTTTCAGAGTTTGAAACCACAATGAAGAAACCGATTTCTTTTCTGTGCAGAGGGGAGAATTGTTTATCTCATCATTTCGGTGTAAACACCGAGGTATTCACACCGCCTGCGTTGTGCACGTCTGCGGAGACAGATAGGCCTTTTTTTTTTTTTTTTTAAAGTGGATCAAAACACACCAGTATTGTTTTCACTAGAAGATGTAGAGCTCGGAGAAAAGCAAAAGACGTTCAAGCAAGCTCTGCTTTGGATTTTTTTGGTCAGGATTACGGAAGAAACAGGCAAGTCGTGGTTAAAAGCCTTAATGTCGGCCTGCCAGGCAGCAGCGCCTGCCTGCACCTAGGTGCTGTGGGGGACTTTGGGAGTGATTTTTGGGCACAGGATCCCTTCCACCCCATTTCTAACCACATTTTACAACACGGCTTTGAACTACTGCTCGAAGGCTGAGGGACAGCAGTGAGCAGGATGCCCGGCGGGCTTCTTTAGGCACCGACTTCTGCCCTTTAGGACACAATACCGGGCACTGGGCTACCTTCCCCGGGCACCAGACCACTGGGGCCCCTCACAGGTCTCCTCACAGCGCCCCAAATGGCGGCTGTCCCCCGGTTCCCCCCCCCTCCGGGGAGCAAGAGGCGGCCGCGGTCGGGCACCACCCCGGGGCGGGCCGGGCCCAGCGCATGCTCCGCGGCCCGGGCCCGCTGCCGTGCCGGGACCGCCGCCCTGCTCCTGCCCCTACCCGGTTGTGGCTGCCCCCAGCTCGGCTCTCGAACAGCCCCGGCCGCCCCCAGCCCCGCGGGGGCAGCGGGAGAGGGGAGCGGCCGCCTGAGGCGCTGGAGGAGGCGGTGAGTGGAGCCGGAGGGGGCTCGGGGCCCGGTGGTTTCCCCAACCCCCCCCCCTCCGGGGGAAGGAGCTCGGGGAGCCGGGAGGGAACCGGGAGGGAACTGGGGGGGGAACCGAGGGGGAACCGGGGGGGAGCCCCCGGTAGGACCCGCAGGGCTCGGAGGGTTTCGTCCCCGCGGTAGAAATGGGGGTGGTGGGAGCCGGGTGCTGGAGCAGCGCCGGGCTGGGGCCGCGTGGTGCTGGGCGCGGGTCGAAGTTTAAAAAAAAAATATATCAAAAAATCTAAAAATTAAAAAAAAATATCGAAAAATAAGAGATCGCGGGGGTGTTCCCGGCCGATCGCGGATCCCCCGTGGGCCCTCGGTTCGGCTCGCCGGCAGCGCTGCCTCGCTCCTCGGTGCGGATCGAGGGCCTGGGCGGGTGGATGCGGGCCCAGCGGGGAAAAAAACCCGAGTGTGCTGTTGTTTGAGGTCCTCCTGTTGGGTTAGGGTTGAAAAAAGGTGTGTGAAAGCTTATAGGGGAGAACCAGGAAATCAGGCTGAACGCCGGCCCTGCTGCGGAGCCCTCTGGCTGGGGGCACGGCTCGGCCTCGACAGGAGCTGGTGTGGAGGCAGGGGAACACCTCAGGGCTGTGTGGGGGTGTTGGGACTGCGGAACAGCCCCGTGGGGTGCTCCAAAATTTTTGGGGAGGGAGGATGTAGGTTGTCCAAGTCACACCAGCGCTGAAATTTAACTCCAGTCGTCCCAGTTCGGCTCCCACTGGGAGAAGATGCTCCGAGGTGGTTTTCTGTTCGCCGGCGCAGGAGAAAGCTGCGAGTTCTGTTTTGCCCTTATAAGGGGAGCGGTAGGCATTTCCTCCTGGCACTTGTTTGTAAAAACACGCAGGAAATTGCACCTTGCTCAGGGCTTGTGCTGGGGAACGGCCGTGGGACAGGTGCTTGGGAATCGGGAGTGGGTTGGGGACACGATGCCGGAGCCCCGGCAGCTCACATCAGGCCCTTGCTGTCACCCACGGTGTCCCAAGCGAGCAATCGCAGGCAGATTTCTGTTTATTTATTTATTTTAATGTAAATATATTCACAGTGATTTGGTTTTCCTTGAATATCATTCTTGTCTGAGCGGCTGCGTGCCGCTTGCCCCCAAGCCCCGTGGAACAGTGAATGCTCTGTGCTCACACAGAGCAAAACTGCGAGCTTTTGACCTTTAGGAAAGGTTAGGTTAAAAAAAAAAAAGTGTAAAAAGGCAAAGTGAGTGGGTTTCAATTTGCTCAAGAATATAAACGTGGAACTGTGATGAATCGAAGCTTGTCAACTCCTGGAAGTCTCTGTGCTGCAAAAATCTTTCAGAATTAATTTCAAAAATAAGAAGCGGAGGCTGGAAATTCAGAACTGATAGGGAGTGTGCTGTTTCTGCATATCCAAATGGACTTGTCTGCTAAATGAATTTAGGAAACAAATGAGAAGCAAAACCTGGAGAGAATATCTGGTAGAAAAGCTTTGGAAAGCAGACCTGCAACAGCTGCAGAGCAGAAAGTGAAGTATCCGTGAGCAGTCATGGGGGAGACTCAGTGGGTAAAGTCAACAAACCTTTTAAACTCATCTTTTGTAGGCAGAGCCCACAGTTTAAAGTTACTTTAATTCTTCTACCTCGTGTCTAGAGGGGCAGGAGGTCATCTAGGGCTTCTTGGTTGGAAGAGTAATTTGGTAAATTTGGGCTAACTTTTCTGTAGTAGTTTGGTCTTGCAGATAAAAGCCTACATTGACAGAGAGCAGCTTCCCTTTTTTGTGCAGAGGGGAAAAGTCTTTGAGTTTTCTCAGGCAGCGTCCTGACTGTCAGAAGTGCTGTTGCGGACAGGAAGGTTTCACCTCTTTCCTACCACGTCCCTCCCTCGACGTGGAGGTGCAGGGTGTTTTTTCCCCTGCAGAGCTGGCCTCGGGTTTCCTGGCACCTGGCTGCTGCTGCTTTGGTACAAGGAAGAAGTTCAAAACGCAGCACAAACCCGAATGGAGCACCCTTGACTCTGCATGCTGCGTTGGGCATGAATTGCACGGGAAAGAGCTGCCCTGTGTGTTTACATAAAGAGGAAGGTGTTTGAATTGTTTTGAGGACTTAAGCTGTCTAGATATGAAAACAAACCCTTCAGCCTGGCTTGTGTTTGCATCTGAAAAGGGTCATTAACAGAAGCCATAAAGCAGAAGGTGTGATCAGAAAATGAGATACAGAGAGACGACAGAGTTTGGTCTTGGTTCCTGACTTACCTCATGTCCATCAGTAGCTAAAAATCATTCAGAATAAAACATTTTGTTGTAAACTGTCGATACTCAAGTTGGACAGGTGACAAAGGAACAGGAGTTTGTCATTTCTGACTGATCAGGCATTATTCCTGTAAACACACTCAGATTGCTCTGGGACTCTGAAGCACTTAAGGTGCAATTAGATTTCAGGTATCGATAATGGCAGGCACTTGCCAAATTGCCAGAAAATGGCTTTTAGTGTTCAGCGCGCGTTTCAGCGAGTCCTGACGGCCTGCTCCTCGCGGGAGAAGCTCTGCCAAGGACGGACTGCTCCCTTCTGCTGCTTGGATGAAACGTGGAGAGAAGAGTGGAGTCTTAGCAGGATTTTGAGGTGTCTGGTGGCTAAATTGTTAATTCCATCAGTTTCTATAGCGTCAATTCAACGTGTGAAGTGACAGGTCAGGGGAAGATTAATCTGCTCCTTTATTTGCTGGGTTCCCCATCCAGTATTCTGTTTTTCCCATTCACCCAGTCCTTTAGAGGAACCAAAAAGGTGTTGGGTTACTTGGGGGTGGTGGTGGGGTAACGTTGGCTCCCTTGGGCAAACCAGCTGAAATTCCTCTTGATTCAAAGTGGAGGGGGAAGTGAAGAAGCGTGATTTAGTGGCTCTAATATCCTGCCTGGGTGGATTTTTAAGGAATAGGTCCTGAGAATTTTCTTCTTCATCATGAGGGTGGCTGAAGGGCTTAAAGCTTCAAACAGTTTTTCTGGCTAGAATATTTTTTTCTGTTATTCCTGGGCTGATGATATAAATACCTGCATAAATGATAGAAAACTTGAGCTTAGGTGAAATTGGAAGAGCAGCTTTGTACATGGAAAAGTGTTATCTTTATGTCTCACTGCATGCATTGGCCTTTTACCATCCTTTTGCTACCAATAGTGACACAATTTTGTTGTTTATATGGTTATTATTGTTACTGTTCAATGTTTTGACATACCTGTCACACAAAACTGGTAGATTTTTGTTTCCCCTCCAGGAAGTGAAAGGTAAAAATAGGAAATAAAGGAAAAGAACCGAGAGTTGGAAGTTAATGGAAAAGCTCAGGGTGCGTGCATCATCCTGAACTGAGGAGAGAGGCACTGCTGAAGGCCTGAACAGTCAAAGTGGAGCTGGTGCTTGATGCAGAACCTCCCAGGAGGCTTCAGACCTGACCGAATGCAGCTGAGCTGACAAAGAAAAGGAAAATTGCTCGTGTTAGTGGAAGTGGGTGAGCACTGCTCTTGGTTCTGCTCAATCAGCTCTGATGGCAGCACAGCCACCTTCCAGAAGCACAGGTCACTGCTGCCAGCTCCGTAAAGGAGAGTTTGCTGTCAAATTGGAGGAATTTGGTGGTTAGCGCTAACTCCTCCGAGTTTTGCAGCAGGTGAGATTTAGCATGAGTCAAGGCTTGAGTTGTTTGTGTGCTGGAGGAGGGGACAGGAAGGCTCACAAAGATAGGAGCAGGATGGATAAGCATGAAACGCGTCGTTGGATGGGTTTTGAAGCCTTGGGTTGGGTTTGAAGCCCTTTATTTTAATCTCAGCTGTCGCTGGCCTGTGCCTGACCTTGACCAAGCAGCCTGTTTATTCCTGCAGTGCCTTTCTGCCCCAGACTCTCCTCCCCAAGCTGAATTCCCTTTGCATGTATTGAGGTAATATTGACTCTCTATTTTAAACAAGAGAAAATTCCTGTCGACCAGTAATTGCCTTCTTTGAATTAATTCCCAGTGGTGCGGCAAGCGCAGCTTCTTGCAGATCAAAGTATTGAATGTTTTTTGGTTGTAAATAAAGAATGAGGGGCAGAGACATTTGTCATTTCCTTCTGCGAAACGACCTGCTGGTTTCCTATAAGCCTTTAGTCCAGAGGCTGCAGGTCCAATTCTGCAGTTTGTTCTGAGATAACTTGTAAAGCAAAGCGAACGTCTGTTGGTGCAGTGTTTACTTCAGGTTTGTAAGAGTTTGCCATCCCTCCACCTCAGTTCTTCGTGGTTTGGTTTTGGAGAGGCAGGAGCGCTGGGGAAAATCAGCGGGGACATCTGCTCGGCCCTCCAGGCTGGACTACACAACACTGCTGGGCAGCAGCTCGCTTTAAGGCACGTAACAGGACGTTGTGTGTCCACAAGCAGCTTTAAAACACGCAAAATGTTCCCCAAATCCCCCAGGTAAGCCTTTGTGTCTGTAGGTAAGGAGAAGAAGCAAACCAAGGTACCAGATCCTGACCTGGGCAGGGCAGTGAAGGATCTCTCGGTGAGGTTTGTGCATGTGGCGACTCGGTTCGTCAGGAAATGAGCTTGGCACACCGAACTCGTACACCCATTTTGTGATGCCAGCAGCACAAAGCAGTACATTTAACAAAACAAGCCCTAAAAGCCTTGGCACTTGAGCAGTCTAAATAACTTCCTGTTGGTTGCCATCCATAAATACCTGTCTCTGCACTGCTCGGGGTTTCACTGGGGTACAATACATCCAAAGCAGGTTTTTGTGTGTTTTTTTTTTTAAAGCTCTATTAGGCTGCAGGGCATTAGTTATTCGAGAAAAAGGTACAGGAGGTACCATCTAGCTCAAACCTTGCTCTTGGCATTATGCTCATGCTTTGCTATTTAACCCTGCTGCTTTGCATGATGGTTTCCTTTTCTTCTTTTTTTTGTTTTTCTTTTAGTTTTTGACCCAAGGCTCTCACACCTCAGCCTGGTGGTCTTCTGCGTGCAGAGGAGAGGTGGCCACCCTCA